TGCCTGTAATATTTTTCTATTTTTTTCTGTATATATTTAGTAATTTGCTTTCAGCCGAGCCATCTATTTTTAACCCTGGCTTGGAGGAAAAGCAACAGGATGGGTTGAAAATCCCAACCGAGGGATTCCCACGCTCCAGCCAGCCCAGGGACCATGCTCAGTTATCCCTCTGCTCAGGTATCCACATCACAGCTGGGTTTTGGGGAGGAAAATGTGTTTTTTTTTCAGGAGAACCCACTTGCCTCAGTGGGGATCCTGTGCCTGAGATGCAGCTTTGGTTTGCTGGGATGGAGAGGAGCCAGGAGTAATCCCAGAAGGATTGGGAGAGGATGTGACCACAGGTTTAAAACTTCAGAAGACAGCAGTTGGGTGGGAAAGGCTGCAAAAGCCCTGGAGATGCAGGAGGTGCCTGGTGGCACCTGTAAGATCGCACCTTCCTGAATGTAAGAAAAGGCTTTTGTGGGGGTGCTGGTGTCCCAGACAGGGCTGGTGCTGCCTCTGAGCAGTGATGGACCCAACCCAGGGCAAAATGTGCTTTGAGATACTTCTTCTGTAATGAGAGCTGCCTGCTTAAGGTAACTGGGCTAAATAATCACCCTCAAAATGCCATTTTTAAGAACATTTAGGGCAATTCCTATCTCCACCCCCATACAGCTTGAGGTACAACCCAAGTGAAAGGGGGGGAAAAAGCCAGGGCTCGAGTTTTGGGGGTTTGGGCTGGTGATGGAGCTGGTGTAAGGTGTCTGGAGGACATGGTTTGCTCTGTAGCCCTTTGGCACAGCCCTGTGCTAAGCAGGCAGCATAAAGGCTGCTCTGCTTGGGATGAAGGTGCTGTGTTGGGTTTCTGGTTGGTGGAAGGGCCTTCAACCTTTCTGTTGTGGGCAGAGCTTCTAGTAATGTTGGGACACCAACACAGCTGGGAGCAGAAGGAGGATGACAACTGGAATAATGGCACTGGTTTTTGGCTATGCAATTGGAATGGGATTGATGATTTGGTTTCTTGGTTGAGGTGCTCCTGTCTTCACTGCATCTTGCTCCATGAGTGATTGTATCAACCTTTTCATGCTTCTGGTCGTTGGCCACCTTGGGGCCCTCATGTGTGATTTGGAGTTGGAGGGAGGGATCTGGCTTGTGTGCTGTCTGCTGATGGTGATGTTCTTCCTATCAGGGTATGTGGTCAGCAAAAGAAGGTTTCCAAGCCGTGAAGATGTGGTGCTGAAGGACACAGTTTTCATGGTGACCTGACAGTGCAGGGGGAACTGTTGGACTTAGAATCATAGGATGTTTTAGGCTGGAAGGCACCTCTAGAGGTCATCTGGTCCAACCTCCCTGCACCAGCAGGGACATATCTACCTAGGTCAGGTCACCCAGGGCCCTGTCAAGCCTGACCTTGAATGACTCCAGGGTTGGGGCCTCCACCACCTCTCTGGTAGTGATGATCTGGATGATCTCAGAGGTCTTTTCCAAACTAAATGATGAACTATGACTTTATGGCAGCTTAGCAGGAGGACTTGATTGTGGTGGCATCAAGAAACGTTCCTTTCACAGTGACTTTTTTGGGTTCTATGTGGTGTTTTGCATCGCTTTGAGGTCATGGCAGAGCAGGTCATGCCAGGAGGCAACACCAGCAGCTCAGCAGGATGGAGCTGGGCGGGCAGCAGAATGCAACTTGGCAAATTAATTGGCTGCTGACTTAGAAACATAGAATTCTTTAGGTTGGAGTGAGATGGATCTCTAAGGTCTGGGCTGTGTGCTGGCAGGAGGGGCTGGGGTCAGCATCTCCTTGGGTGTGTGGAGATGTTGAGTGGCTTACTGGGATGGAGGAGAGCTGGTGGACCCTTGGCTTGAAGCAATGGTGGCTTTTAATGAAGAGTAAATTAACCCCCAACCTCATCCCATTGGGCAGCAGCTTGCTGTGTGCACACTGAAATTTGGACTTGATGACCTTAAAGGTCTCTTCCAACCCAAATGACTCTATGGTTTTATGAAGAACAACAGTAGGCAGCTCATGGACTGGGTTTTGTTGCTCCCCATCATGGTTAAAAGCTCTTCCAAAGTCTTTAGCTTGTTGTTAGGATTTTGATGGTTAGGGTCAGGAGCTGAGCTCTGCCAGCCAAAAAGGGAATCTAGAGATAAATGGGAGCAACGTGGAGAGCTCTGGCACGTGTCCCTCCTGGGTGGTGGCTTCTTGTATGCTTGTTCAACCCTGTTGGTCATCATACAAACCCACTGGGGCCACTCCATTGTGCTGGGAATACCCAGATTCCCTGGATAGGGTCAGGCATTAGCCTCCAACTCCCAACCCAGAGCCTGCCCATGGAGGGATGACACCACGAGGTGACTCCATGAGCTGCCTGGAAAGGCAGTTTTCTTCTAACAGCCATTCTGAAATTTTGGCAGTTTTCCTCTGATCTGAGGATTTTTAGATGCTCCATGGTGGTTTTAATCTGTCTGATGCTTTTGGCGTTTACCCACTAACAAGTATTTTCTAGTTCAGCATGGGGCCTGGCAGCAAGGAGCCCCACAGCTTGTTGGGTCCTGGGGAAGAGATTTATTTCATCATACAATCACAGACTGGTTTGGGTGGGAAGGGACCTTTCAAGGCCATCCAGTCCAACCCCCTGCCCTGAGCAGGGACATCTGCAGCTAGAGCAGGTTGCTCAGAGCCCCGGCCAACCTCACCTGGAATGGTTCCAGGGATGGGGCAGTGACCACCTCTCTGGGCAGCCTGGGCCAGGGGCTCACCACCCCCAGCAGCCAAAATTTCTCCCTTCTCTTTAGTCTGAAATATATTCATGGCTGTGGTGTGGGGCAGCAGCACCTACCAGGGTGTCATTTGGTTGGTTGCAACTAGTAGTAAAGAGGGACCAAGGTTTGAAGGAGAGGAGGATGCCCTAGCAGCTTGGCTTGGCTTAAATCCAAGCACAAAGGCATGGAGAGTTTGGGTTTGCTCCTGGTGGCTCCAGGACCTCTTGGGCGTACGGTGGGGTGTCCTCATGTTGGGATAAACCAAGCTGCTTTTGTGGCTGCCCTGCCTGAACAGCTTTGCTGCTGCCCAAGTGGTGATTTGGCTTTGTATAGGTTGTTTTTCAGTGAGGACTGCTCATGAGCTCACGTTGAGGTGGCACCTGCTGCAGGTTTTGTTATTCATGTTGAAGGAAGCACACCCAGCTGCTCACAGTGTGGAGATGTTCTAAAACCAGCACTGGTCCCAAACTGGTTGGAGTTCCTACAAAAATGTTGGATGCTGAGGGTGTTGAGCCCCTGGCCCAGGCTGCCCAGAGAGGCGGTGGCTGCCTCATCTCTGGAACCATTCCAGGTGAGGTTGGCCGGGGCTCTGAGCAGCCTGCTCTAGCTGCAGATGTCCCTGCTCAGGGCAGGGGGTTGGACTGGATGACCTTGAAAGATCCCTTCCCACCCAGACCACTCTGTGATTCTATGATTTTTTTGAAAGATCAGGGCTGTAGCAGCCCTACAGAAGCTCTCCAGAGCCTTCCCCCTTCCCATGCCTTCTTCCATGGTATTAAATGCCAGTCTCTTAGTGCCTCCCCTCTACCAGAGCAGCAACAGGCCACGCTCCTCTCCATGGAATGACACATCCCCACCAATGACACTTGCTCCTTTGTTAAAGGCTCTGCAGCATCCAAAGACACGCAGAGACCTCTTGGTGGACATCTACCTCAGTGAACCTCCATGTCCACCAGCCTCCCCACCAGCCCAGAGCTGGCTGTCACAGCAGAAACTTGCAGCTCCTCGACTCAAAGCCTCTTCCTGTGCTGAAAACCTCACTAAAGGCAAACAAAAACCATCCCAGGGGGGCACGGAAGGAAACAGGACCTGGTGTCTGCCAGGGCCTGGGGTTCCCTGGTGCCAGAAACCATCTCGTCGTGTTGGTTGGCATCACAGCAACCTCACCCAGCTCCTCTTTCTTTTGGTTTTGTGTTCTCTTTATTTGAAGGGAGTGAAGGGCTGAGAGGAGCAGATATGCCCCTAGAGACACACAGCAGTGGAGAGACCAGCTTCTGGTGAAAAATAACCTGCTTCTGGTGAAAAAGAACCCCTCCTCGTGCTCCCAGGGGGGCTGGGGAGGGTCTCATCCTGAACCCCCTCACTCTCTGCTCCCAGCCAAGCACCTTGCTCAGCAGCAGGTTGCTTTTTTCTGTAGGTCTCAGGATGGGCTCCTTCTCTCCCAAAGCTCCTGTGATGGACTTCAGCCCAATGTTCCCCCAGTTTTAGGGCTGTGCCACCCTTGTCCTGTTGCCTGCTGGGGGGTTCTCTATTGCAGGACATCCCCAAAAGGCCCATTTTTGAGCTCCCAGGCAGGGGCCAGATGCAGGAGCTGGGCACCAGGTCTCTGGCTGCTGCTGTTGGAGCTCGTGGCTCTTGTAGGGTGACAAAAAAACATCCGTGGTGATGGATGGAGGTGATGTGGGGGATTTAATGAGTGTGTCCCCCCCTCTGCCTGCCGGGGTAGAAATCCTGAGAAACAGGAAACTCCAGCATCCTGTTTAGCATCTCAATGTTCAAGCTGGCAGCAGGGACAAAGGGATGTGGACCATGCTGGGGCTGGCTGGTGTGACAGGCTCGGGCAGGGGAAGAGCTGAAGCCAAAATCCAGCTTGGCTGGGGTCCTGCTGCTGCAGGCTGTGCTCCAGAAGGTGCCAGTGTCCCCTTCTGCTCGGGGGATGATGGGGAGGGCACAGGAGGGTACCTGGCAGCGTTGGACTGCCCCAGGATTGGACATGGGGTGTAATGCCCAGCTCTGCATCTCCCACCCTCACTCACACAGCAACAACCCCACCCATACAACCCCAGAGGTCCCTGCTCAGGGCAGGGGGTTGGACTGGATGACCTCAAAAGGTCCCTTCCCACCCAAAACGTGTTATGAATCGATCATCTGGGGGATTTCAGGCTGGGAGCAGCAGGTCTCTGCCCAACCCAGGTGTTGACCCACGTGTGTTTCTGCCCGCAGCCCGTGCAGAGAGTGCAGCTGGCCCGCCCATGGCGAGCAACAACACTGCTGGCATAGCACAAGCCCGCAAGCTGGTGGAGCAGCTGAAGATGGAGGCCAACATTGACAGGATAAAGGTAGCGTGGCTCAGGGGGTGGCTCTTGGCTCAGAGGGATGCTGCAAGTTGGTGCCTGCTGCTCAGCAGCTGCCAAAAGCACTTTGAGAGATCCAGGACAGGGTGGTGGGTGGTGATTCTGCAGGATGCTCATCTGAAACAGTGAGGAGCTGGAGAGCATCTGAAGAAGGGCAACGAAGCTGAGGAAGGGTCTAGAACCCAAGTGTGGGGAGGAGCAGCTGAGGGAGCTGGGGATGCTGAGCCTGGAGCAAAGGAGGCTCAGGGGAGACCTTCTGGCTCTGCACAGCTCCTGACAGGAGCCTGGAGCCAGGGGGGGGTCGGGCTCTGCTCCCAAGGGACAAGGGACAGGACAAGAGGAAATGGCCTCAAGTTGCCCCAGGGGAGGTTGAGTTTGGACTTGACGAACAATTTCTTCATGGAAAGAGTTGTCCAGGGCTGTGCCAGGCTGCCCAGGGCAGTGGTGGAGTCCCCACCCCTGGAGGGGTTTCCAAGCCGTGGAGATGTGGTGTGAGGGACACGGGGCAGTGGGGACCTGGCAGGGCTGGGGGAGGGTTGGACTCGATGATCTTGAAGGTCTCTTCCAACCCAAATGGTTCTATGACTCCCTAAGTGATGCAGAGGGCAGTGGGAGCTGCTCACCTGTGGATGGCAGCTAAAGCAGCACCTGGAGCCCTGCTGGGGGGTGGGAAGGGGTGATTCTCCCCAGGATGTGTCACCTGCTTAGGAACAGCTTAAACCCACTCTCATTGTCACAGCTGCTTTTACAGCTGTCCTTTGGGTCGTGCTTGGTGCTCAGCCTTGTGGTTAGTGGAGAAACTCTGGAAGCAACATTTTCCTGAAGCCTCTTTCCTTCAGAAAGCCCAATCCTTTTTGGAAGATGTTTTCTCCACTCTGACCCCTCCTGCTCCACCCTGGTGGAACTTCTGCTTTGGGGCATGCAAAAGCTCATCAGCTTCAAGCTCTAGATGCCAGAGGATTTGTCTTCTCTGCTGCAGTGCACAACAGCCAGTCCCAGCAAGAGAAATGCTTGAAGCACTTGGTGGTGGTGGAGTCCCCATCCCTGGAGGGGTTCCAAAAACATGTAGACGTGGCACTTGGGGACAGGGTTTAGTGCTCATGGTAGTGCTGGGTTGATGGTTGGACTTGATGACCTTAGAGGTCTTTTCCAACCTTAATGATTCTCTGATTCAAAGTCATGTGAAGGGTGCAAAGGGCTGAAGGGTGTGAAGGATGCTCATGGAAGTGTGACCTTAGAGCCTCGAGGTGCAAAACCAGCCTGGGGACACCGGTCTGGCCTCGGCCAGCTTACGACGTTGCGTGCGTGGGGCTGAGGACTCTGTGAGCCCAGCCCCACCCGTGGGACCTCTCGGGGTGGGACATCCCCAGCACCGCCTGTCCCTCACACAGGTCTCCTTCTGTTCCAGGTGTCCAAAGCAGCAGCAGACCTGATGGCTTACTGCGAAGCCCACGCCAAGGAGGACCCCCTATTGACCCCCGTCCCGGCCTCAGAAAACCCCTTTAGAGAGAAGAAGTTCTTCTGTGTCATCCTGTAAACCCTCGAGGAGCCTGACAGGCACTCAGGCCACCCTGAACACTGCTGTAGAGTTTTTAGGAACGGGGGACAACCTGCTAAGTCTGCAGAATTTAAACAAAAATAAGTCAAATACACGGCCTGGAAGCGACAGGGATGTGCATGTTTAAGAACCCGGGGGAATAAGATGATCTTCATTGTGAGGCAAAAGATCTGAAGTCTGTAGAGTTACCTAGAAAGAAAAAACAAAAAACCCATGTAAAGAATAAATTGGTGTCACTTTTCTGCTCCCAGAATCGTTTGGTTGTTCCATATTTAAAGCACCAGAGCCGTGCTGAGCAAAGTCACTGCTAAGGATGTGTTAGAACCTTCTTGGAATGATATTGTGGGTTTCTTTCCTGAAAAGAGACTTTTTTTTTCTTTAAGTTGTCAGATAGATAGAGACAGGTTAGATGACTCTGATGTTCCTCAGTGTTTGGTCTTGTGCTTTGTCATCACGAGGGGGGTCGAGCTCCTGCCTGCCCCCCCGCGTGCCGGTGGCCCCGTCTTTCTAGTGACCCCCTCCCCCCTACTTTCTAACCTTTTCTATGTGGTTAGCTTTGGCTGAAAGTGAAAATCCTGTGTTGTGGTTGGTGCTTCATGACTCCTGTGACGACGTTGGTGGTAGTGCATGAGAGTTTCTCCCCGTCCACCCGCTCCAGACTCTTCGTTTCTACCGTTGGAGGCCACGTGCCGGTGGGAGAAGCTCTAGGGAGGGAACCGAGGGGATTCTGAAAGCAAAGCCAGCTCCTGTGATGCCACAGACGTGCCTGAGAGACCACCTATGAGGGTAGGTGCCAGTCCCCGGGCATGAGGGCTTGAGGTGGTCCCCGCCCCAGGTGTTGTGGGGTAGCTAGGAAGCCCAAAATCCAAGTCAGCCACTTTCTCCCGCATCTCTCCTCTTCTCCTACACTTCTGTGCCTCTGCTCTCCTTGCTTGGTCTGTGTCCTGCTCTGCTGACTTCCTGGCAGCATCTCCTCATTGTGGGGCTCGGGTGGGATCCTGCCCCACGGTGGGATGCTTGCCTTGTGGTGGGGCAGGTTGCCCAGAGAGGTGGTCGCTGCCCCATCCCTGGAACCATCCCAGGTGAGGTTGGCCGGGGCTCTGAGCAACCTGCTCTAGCTGCAGATGTCCCTGCTCAGGGCAGGGGGTTGCACTAGATGACCTTGAAAGGTCCCTTCCCACCTAAAGCTGGTGGTTCTATGGGATGCTGCCCCACCATAGGATGCTTCTGCCCCTTCCTGCACCCACCATCTCCCCCATTCCCCCCATCCTGACAGGTAAGGGGGCAGTTTGGGGAGCTTTGGGGCCACCCTTTCATGGAGGTGCCTGATACCTTGTTTACACACAGCCTGAGCCTGGGGAGTTATTCCCAGGGCTGGTTCATCTCTGTCAGCCCATCGGGGGACACACGCCACCTTTTTTTCTGGCTCTGCTTTGGGTTCCTACTTTGGTGGCCGTGGCTTGTTCCTCCTTCCCTCTGCTGAACACCTCCCAGCTCCCCTCACCCATCTATGCTCCCGGGAATCTTCAGGAATCATAATATAGGGGTCACAATTAGGTGGGGGTCTCGTCAGGGGTTTGGGGGTCTGCAGTGACCCCACTAAATCTCCATCAGGTATCAGCTTAAAAATCCCTGTGGGCTCCAGAGGGTCTTTGGGTACCTTTCAGCGAGTCTTTCTAGCCCGTGACAAGTGCATTTTGGTTTTTCTACCTTTTCATACTCTTTTTTCTAGTGTTCTACAGAGAAGACCAATTGTTCTTACCCCAAACTCAAAATTTTTGGCATCTGGGCACAAGATGTAGTAGCCTAGATGGCCTCAACCCTCCCACGGTGGCTTTTGGTCCCCTCTAACCTCCCTGTTTTGATCTTTTTCCACTGGCTCACGTAGCTTTAGGATGAAGGATGGATGAAGTTTTTGCTCTGCAGCTGGTTTCACTCGTGGGTGTCCCAAGCAGATGTGTAAATAGCCCATCCTGGGTTTCTCTTCTCTTTTTAACCCTGATTTGCTGTCCCAGAGAGCGGCCGGTCTGACCCAGGACCCTTCTCCAAAGCTGTCCTGGAGTGGTTTGTAATAATTTTTTTAACAACTTGCCTCTTTTACAACTCAGATTCTTAAGAAATAAACGAAGCAATGAAGCTGCATGAAAGGGAAGGGGTTGGGAGGGGAAGGGGGTGGATTTTGAATTAGCCTAAACTACTCACGGAAGGTGTTTTACGTTGCTGCTCTTGAGTTTCTGTTGGTAGTCGTGTTGATGTTGGTGTGTTGCCAGGTATTTCACCCCAGTATTTATATTTACACAGATATTCCTTTGTTAGCCAAGTAGAGATCTCCTGCCAAGATCCTTTCCCCCCCTTCCCTTCCTAACAAAAGCCCAGTCGTCTCCATCCCCACGCTGCATTTCCCATCAAATGCCATTCAACTCTACCTTCAGGCTGAAAGAATAAAATATCTGGAGTGCTGGAAAACCACTTGGATTTTCCACCAAGGTTTAGGGGGTGAGTCTGACCCTCTGGTGCCAACCTGCAGCTGCCAGGCTGTGGAGGAGGGAGGTGGTTGAACCCAAAGCCAGCGTGGGGAGGAGGTCGGCTCTGTGGTGTAGCTCATCCCCATCCCACGTGGTCTCTGTACTCCTTGGAAATAAAGTTTTGGATTTGTTTCAAGGCTTTGGAGGTGATGCTGTGTGAGCGCCGGCCCCCGAGGAGGTGGGTGCCCGCCCTGGATGAGGTTCTCAGGGAGTTTAGGGGGTCTCCTCTTTGGGGGGTGGGGTTTGGCAGGAGCTTTGGTGCCCGTCGGGGAGGGGGAGTGAAGCCTCTTGGGGCTGCTGAGCTGCAGCTTTCTGTTCCTAAAGAACAGGCTGGCTCTGGAGGGGACCAGGCTTGTTCAAGGTGTGGGATCTTGCTCCTGGCTCAATCGCCTCACTCAGAGATGGAAAGTCACCTGAGATGATGTCCATCCTTTCTCCCCCTGCTCCTCTCCTTCTCCCACCTGTGGCAGCAAGGCCAGGCTCTCCCCAGTGCCACCTCCAGCACGCCCAGCACAGGATCCAGCTTGCTGTGGCCCAGCCCCTTTAATGGTCTCATCTAGGGCTGTTTTGGGGACACTCTTGATGGTCTGAGCCTGGTCCTCACTATGGTGGGAGGACAAGGAAGGGGTGATGCAGAGCAGGACTCCTCATGCCCAGCAAAGCATCCCCTTCACACCCACCTCCCTTCCCTAACACCTTCCAGATTTTCCTACCAAATCCACCACATCCTCAATTTTCACTCTGGTCCTCGAAATGTCCCTTCCAACCCAAACCAGTCTGTGGTTCTATGACTCTACATCCACCCCAGCAAGGGTGGCCAGCAGTGGAGGTAGTGACCTCAGTGTAGGTGGGGGTAGACAAACACACAGCCCTGGGCTGGCGTGGTCCTGTGCCAGCTGTAGGGTGGGACTCTCCACCCTTCCTCCACCCCTCCTGCCTTCAGCACCTCAGGACTGCCCTTGCCCTGCCCAACACCTCCTGTTTCACCCTGGTTTGGAGATCTTCCCCTCCACTGGTGAGTCCAGCCTCTCCTGTAGTTTTTCCTGGAGGGAAATCCATCCCCAGGAGCTGCGACGAGGAGTTGGGCTTCTCCTGAATGTAATTAGCGCCAAGGGGTTTATTCTCATTAGCGGGCTGCGGAGGATCCGGCGCTGGTGTCGGGTGGGCAGCAGCGTGGTGTGCAGGGAGCAGCATCTCCCCCAGCTCCTCCCAGGCTCCCACACCTCCTCCAGCTCAGCTGCTGCTGGCTCGGGAGCCCGGGGAAGGGGGGATGGAGGAGAGCCAGCGAGGGAGGGCTACAGCCGAGGGGCACCCGTGTGGCACAGTGAGCAGCAGAGGCACTTGGCTCCCTCCTTCCCAGGGGCACCAGAGTCTTCTGCTCGCTGGCTCCATCGGCACAGCAAGGGGTAGAAGCTTGGGATCATGGTTTGGGTGGGAAGGGACCTTTCAAGGTCATCCAGTCCAACCACCTGCCCTGAGCAGGGACCTC